AAAGCAGACAGAATATAATTGGGGAAAATTAGAGGTTTTTAGGGGATGACAGGCGTTTGAGAAATTTTTTCCCAGCCATTTTGTCTTGCAAAAATTTCCTTGAAATAAGTTTTATAAATTCTTTTCTTTTTACTTTTTCCCAATCTTTGTATTTTTTACCTTCCGTGCATCGCTTCATTACCAGTTGATTGTGACTCTTTCTGACTTCAGCTTTCTACCTCTCCAACTGCTAAGAAATTTGAAAGATAGTTTTTTTTTTTTTTGCACTTTTAAGGAAAAGGCTTTACTTTTACGAATTGTTGTTGCCAGTGAAAAGTGGTTTTAAATCGGTGTGTATTTTCTTTTAATTGATTGCTGCTTAAATTTTATCTTCTAAAAGAATTTGGTTGTTCATTACATCAAAGAATTCTAGACACAGGAATACTTCGATGTCAAAAATCGGAAAGATATGAATGAGGCTGTTTTATGGGACCCTCGAGAAGTACTTCACTGAAGAGGATTTTTCGAGTTATGAAACGTATATTAAATTGCGTTGAGATTATTGTTGGCAGTAACAGCACGTGTGAAGCAATTTACCTTTGCAAACGTTTCTGTAAAAAGATTATTTTGGGAGAAAGTGAGCGTGTCTAAAAATGTTAGTTCCGGATTAAAGTCATCAGTTGGTGATCACCGTGTTGTCTTCATATCTAAATCTCCGTGTTTATTTTCTTTTGTAACTGCTTTGGTTCTCATGCTCGCTTGCTTTCAAGATGTCCGTATTTCCTCCATCCTTTAAGTACAAGAAGCTACCTTGTTTCTACGCCGATGCTCAACTTCGGTCTTAAATTTTATATGGTCCAAAAGCAGCATTGAATGATGTTCAACTGTGACTCATCCTCTTGCAGCTCGGGGTCAAGAACCTCCAAAATCCAGCAAGTGTTGCGACTGGCTTTAAGAAAAAAACCAAGAAAGGCATACTTCTAGCTGAAATTCTTTATTTATACGGCGGCAGTAAAACAAACCAATGCAACTGTATAGTGAGCGACAGTAATCAAACAAATACGTGATAAAGTAGATTGAACGGATTTAAGGAGAACCTAGATTTGGAAAATTTTTACAGGCATCTCACTTAACTACGGGGTGGGTCAGTCACATTATATATTCTGAAGTCCTTTAGCATTTTGATTTTGAGGGTTGGGGTCTAGATGGGCATCGGTTCCACATTAACAGTGGCGTTTCATCCTACTATTGACAGATTGCAAAGTTACAAGGTTTTAACTTTTCTGTGGGAATTACTTTATCGTCCTATTAAATATCTTTTCTTTAGTGGTCCAGCAAGGTCGTCGTCACGATACATATTGCACTCAAATTCATATAGCAAAAAGATTTCACGGATTCGCTAGCATATTACCAGTCCAAGCTGATCAGCGTTAACGCACGGACTTTAACTAATATAAGAAACGAAGTGCACTAATATAGAAGCTTGCGGTTTGCCAACGACTGTCAGTGGCGTGACTGTTGACTGCAGATGCTAGCTAAAGTCCCAGATGTTCTGAATATAAGGTATGACTCCAGATGACACTTAGGAGCTACTGTTTAACTTTGGGTGGTAGCGGTGACCTTCCTCGGTGGTCTGCCTCATTTTAAGTTCGCTGTTTGGAATGTAGCCAAGGTGTGGCAAATTTGCTAAAGTTAATAATGGCTAGTGATTGCCTAGCTGCAGTAAACTAATTGGTTCCGAAGCATTAATTTTTTGAAAGGATTAGAGGATTTTTTAAACAAAATTTTGTTTGCTGCTACCGTTCGAGTTCTCAGTTGTGGTAGTTTTCAGTGTTTTCACTATGGTGGTTTTGGTCCTTGGTTTTTTTTTGTTGTTGTGTGTTATGTACTTTTTCTGCTGTTTTCTTCCATCTTTTGGTTGCACAATCTTTTTAATCACTTCGCTGCAGCTTATGTCAATTAGAAATTTGAGCACCGTCGAAACGGAACCAGTTTTCAGGGACGCGATGGCGTTTTTCTCGAATGGTCTATGCGTAAGGTGTATATACGGGTAGTCTTTAAATGAAAATAAAGTTTCTAGAAGGAGATGAGAAGTTTTGATGGTGAAAAATGGGGATTGGCTACTACACACTTATGCTTGCGAAAACTTTTGTTTATCTGTTGCGAAGTTCTTGAGGGTAAGCAATCCAGAGAATAACGTCGATTTCGTTTTTTTCGGGGATTTTGGGAATAATCCTAGTTTGAAGGTTGCTTTAAAGCTTTTGGATTTATTGTTAGCAGCTGTAATGTGTGCTGTTTCTAATGTGCAGTTATCGGCGGAAATTTGAACAGGGATTTCCAAAACTTTATGGAATCTACTTGTTAAGTTTAGAGGTTTTATCTGTGGGTATGTTATTTTGTTCCACCCCTGTGCGTGGGGTTCCCAATGTTCTTCTATTTAACTTCAGAAGAGTCTGCATTTTTCATCTCTACTAATTTTTAACTAATATACATCTTGACGGATTGTTTATCGGCGTGGAAAATTATTTCTGCTGTTGGTTCTGAGCCATGATGTGTTTTATTTGAGTAAATCTAAGCTACCTTGGTAGGAGTTAAATTGAAATTGAAAAAGTGTTTTTGAAATCTAGACAGGTGAATAAGCTGGAATCAGAGACTATGAAGGAGTGACTAGAAGATGAGGGCGAAAAAATTGCGTTCTATGGTGGGCGCCATGAATTAAATTAATTTTCGAGACTAATGCTTCTTTTGTATTGGTCCTTCAGCTTGTGAGCCTTATTACATGACGGCAGCGAAGGCGATCATCGGCAACATGAATGAATATTTAGTGATTAATTTTTATTGTTCAGAGTTATATCATTAGCATGATGAGTTTAAACGTCGAATAGTAGCACGAAAACATGTAGTGCAATTAAGCAACGAAAATAATTAACATGCGTATAGAAACGAAGAAAGGGGAAGAAGTGTCTCACTTTTGAAAAAAGTTTTTAAATTCTTCAATATGCGATTAGATTTATAATAAAACAGTTCAAAAGTAATGATATTGGAAATATTTTTCAGATGCTCACACTAAGTTTTTTCTCTCGTGTAGTTTATTTAGGAGGGTAATGTTTTTCGTAAGGTATTTAGCCGTAGGTTCAAACTTCACTTAGTACCTAAGCTTTTCAACACGGAGTAAAGACAAGGCGATTTGTTGTCTACTCTTACTCTTCTCAGCTACTTTATTCCGTCTCCTGCAGATGATTCCCGCTGGCCCATATTTCCTAGTTCCTCCGCCTCTCATCAGTTGTGCACTCCAAACAGACTGTGTCCGTAGGGATGGCATTCCTGCTGCAGTCAATTAACTGAAATATCCTGTTATTAGGAGTAGTTTCTGAGTTACGTTTAGGAAGCGAACTTTTTAGAATTGATTTCTTGGTAAACTTTGGTGTTGAATACTGGTCGTTAGGGTTCAAACAATAGTTCTCAAGTTGGTTTACATAATTTCATAGTATCATGGCTGCAGTTACGTGAACTGTTATTGTTTATTATTTTTTTTGTACTTGTTGTTTTTTTAGTTACCTTCCTTCTCACCCATGACCGCCGGTTTTTTTTTCATACGCGACTTTCTTTTGTTCCTGTCTATTATTTGGTAGCTACAATTGAGGAAACAGGATGGTTTTATTTTTGCACGTATTCAAAAGTAATTCCTTTTGTAAAGATGTGTAAGTTTTAGAAATCGCAGATGAAAGGGTAAATTGATTTGATGGTTCAAATTGACTCACTGAGTAATGATAGTGAGGGGCCAAACTTGATTACAAATCAACACAGACAGTTACATAAGTACAATGAGGTCGGGGAGAAAGTGGTGAAGATGAGGTTTTTCAGAATGCATGGACGAGTGGGCTTTATTGAGATCTCGTAACGATCTTTTGAAAGCCGAAGGTGCTTTTGTGAAACTGTTTTGGCATGTTTAGGCTAAGTTTATCTTAATAAGGGGCAGCCAGCATTTTTATATGGAGTGTAACTTTTTTCACAATATATTGCTTGAAGAGTGTTTGCTCATGGAGGTCAGAGGTAACTTGTAGTTGCCTTGTTAGTATCTTAACTTGTTATCTATTGGTGAATCCGGTTTTGGATTGTAGCAGTGGGATCTGAGTTTGTCGGACTTGCTACTTGCTGCGGTTTCGAAACGTTTAGTTTTTTATGCTGTATTCAGTCGGTGTGGATTGAGGAATTGATTATGTAAACTTGCGCTGTACTTTCTGTGAATGTTTTGCAGCACATGGTGAAAAATTTTTGGGGAGAAGGGGGCTGGAGGA